TTATAGACATGGAGCTGCTACAAAACATCGACCTCCACAAGCTGCTGGAGCACCTTTGTCATTCTGTTCCTGCATACAAGGGAATAAAAGGGACAAAAACACCCTTGGGAAGAAGAGCACTTCGTACCTGCCTCCGAGCATCCTCCACAGCACCTCCAGCAGGAAGGCCATCAGAACTTCCAGGTTTCTGAGGTGAGGATGAGAAGGTGTAAAAAGGCTGCAGGGCCCAGGCAGAACACAAAACAGGTTTTGAGTCCCTGACAAGGCTCAGCTTGGCTATGAAACCAGGCAGGAAACAGTTCTGTTCTACTACATACTGGTTTTCCTGATTTGGTTTTTTTTTTGGTATCCCCAAGGACTGAAATCCTCTATGGATCAGGAAAGCCCATTCCTAGGTCACATGTTTCTCTTAACAGGACATGGACTTCACCAAGCCAGACACAGCCTGAGCTGGACAAGCCCTGCCTGAATCACCATTGAGGCTACTCCAACCCTCCTCTTCCTGCAGTGATTCCCCATCCCTAGGCCTGGGAAACACTCCTGGAATCCCCAGTGATATCCCTACAGCTGTGCTGGTTCCAGGGAACAGGAATTGTGCTAACCAGTTCACTCCTGCAGGTCAGGACAGCAGCCACTGTCTTCTCTCCTGTTGTTGCAAAACTCACCAGAGCTGCCTGGAGTGAAATAAGAGCAAGAAATCATTACAAAAACCCCAAGAAAATCCCCAAACTCCCTGTGAAATAAATAAAGCTACAGTGGAATTAAAACCAGGTAATATATTCACAGCCACATGTTAAATGTTATTGTGTCCCCCTGATAAAAATGGACCTCTTATAAAACTGAAAATACTTCTGATAAAGATGGGAACAGCTGACCTGCCACAGGTTTTTGAGCCATTATGTGCTGAGATGTTTAAAACCTGTCAGCTGGCCTAAGATGACATCCCCTGGATGAATTTTAGGCTGCTGTTGGGCCCCTCAGTGTGTCCTTTGTGTCAGTACCTGCTGGAAGTCTCGGAGGTGGCTGAGCAGCCCATCCTTGTACTGCAGCAGGCAGAACTGGGTGGGAGACAGCTGCAGGAAGAACTGAGTCCTTGAGGCACTGAGCACACTGGGCTGAGTGGCCAGGATCCTGGCCTGGAAGTCATCTGCAAACTCCAGCTCCAGGAACTGAAAGGGAGATGAGAAGGTGTGCTCAGGAATGCTTATTCCTCACTGAGACTAAATACCTGCTCTCAGCAGCAGCACAAGCTGCATGGAGAGATTCCCTGGATGTGGATATCCTTCCCTGCAAGGACAAACAAACCAGAAGCAGGGAGGCTCCCAGGGAGGCTCTGAAGACATCAATCCAGAAGGAGCACCAAACAAAAAGCTTTCTCTTCCTTCCCTCAGTTTATGGATCACAGTCCCCCACACCTCCTCAGCCATTCCATATCTCACCTCAGGCTCAGTCAGGCACCAGAACAAAGACAAGGAATTACACACAATGCTTATCCAGTGTTCCTCACCTGCAGAGGGATCTGCTTCATCTCCTGGTCTGCCTCCAAGGAGCAGACATGCAGTGAGTGTGAGTCCTTGTCCAGGCACACCAGCACAGCCTCTCCCACCATGGCACACACCCCCTCCAGGCTCTGCAGCCATGGGGCTGCCACTGTCACCTGCAGGGGAGCACAGGCAGCAGGGGAGGCTGTCAGCAGCACAAACCCACCAAGAAAGTCACTCTGAATTATTTTAACCCGTGGCTGAGAGAAACTATGTGTCAGCCTGAGGTTTATGGGATTCAGTGCAGACAGATCCATCGTTTTTCCTGCAGGGATTTTCCTGCAGGAAAGGTCTCAGTGACAGGGAAGTTTCTCTGTCCCACAACTGATTGCTCTGCCCACCGCACCTCAGCCCATCAGGCACATTTAACATCAAATCTGGTCCTTTAGCTCCAGAGTTGAGCACTACCTGTCTTGTAATTTCTCCATCCTCTACACTGAATGTCAAGATGCTCAGGTGGCTCCGGGGGACAATTCCAACCACATGGATCACTCCAGTGCCATGGGAATACAGCAGCTGGTACTGAGTGCTGTCACTGCAAGAGAGGTGGAACCATGAAGCATCATCTTCTCACACCACTGATTTCAGAAACAGAAGGCAAGTGCAGCACCATTCCCTGTGCCCTGCTCCAGGCTCCCTGCCAGGAGCTTCCACCTCTGCTTCCAATGTGCTCTCACCTCTCTGGCAAATATTCCACCCACTTCTGGTGCCCATTGGACAGGTAGTGCAGGGAGATGGCTCCTTTCTTCAGCACTGCCACGTACTTCACTGCATCCTGCAGCCCAACCAGAGCAGCCACCTGGAAACTAGGCACAGGCCAGAGACAGGAGATAGGAAATTATTGTATTCTAGGCAAAAAACACACACTAATCCCTTTGAAGACTTTATAACATCAGTCTCGAAGGGCAATTTGCATCCTACTTTTTCTGTCCCTGACGACCTCAACAGAGGATCAGGCTGGAATCCAAACAGCCCAAACCAGACACATGTGCAATGTTGTAGATTTAAACATCAGTTAAAGGGAAAATCTATCTGTGAGAGTAAGTTTCTATCTGTTCCTTTTACTTGTTTGCTAAGAAACAGTATTGAATTTAACTGCAAGGGCAATGGAGCTGGAGAAGGGGCTGGAGAGTTAAGGATGTTGGGAATGGCTGAGGGAGTTGTGGGAGCTCAGCCTGGAGAAAAAGAGGCTCAGGGAGAATCTTCTCTCTCTCTACAACTCCCTGCCAGGAGGCGCAGCCAGGTGGGGTCAGACTCAGGGAACAAGGGACAGGATGAAAAGAAACGGCCTCAAGTTGTGCCCGAGGAGGTTCACGTTGGACATCAGGAAGAATTTCTTCATGGAAAGGGCTGTCAGGCACTGGAAGGGGCTGTCGAGGGAGGTGGTGGAGTCACCATCCCTGGAGGAGTTCAAGGAATGACTGGATGTGGCACTCAGTGCTCTGATCTAGGTGACAGGTTGTGATGGGTCACAGGTTGGACTCGATGATCTTGGAGGTCTTTTCCACCCTCCATATTTCTGGGATTCTGTGCAAGGTTCAGGAATTCAAAAAGAATTCATCCAAAATTTAGTTCGGAATCTTTACATCTAACTAATCTTCCTGTATAATCCAACACTAGACAAGGTCCATGATCCCTTTCTCCCCTCCTAGACCAGCACTCTAAGGGGAAAATCCAGAGCAGCCAGCAGATCCCACCTGCCGGTGTCCAGGGATGTCTCCCAGTTCAGGCCGCCGATGTTGGTCTCCCAGGAGCGCAGGATCCGCCCAGCGCTGGACACAGTGATGGCATCTGCCCGGGGAGAGGGGAGGGACAACTCACACCCAGCGCACACCAGGGACCGAGAGAGCAACGAGCTGTGCCAGTCCGGCCCGTGCTGGGACGGGTGGCTGAGCCCAGAGCGCTGCCAGCACCTCCCCCTTACCCTGCCCATGGATCAGCATCGCGTCCACCGCTCCCTCCGCCGTTCCCTTGTCCACATGGCGCCACACTGAAACACAGAGCCCGGGGGGGCAGGACGTGTCCCCCGGAGACATTTCGTATCACCGTTCGTAACAGGGTTACGGGAGCACAGTCCCGCTGCCCC